CTGGCTGCGATTTAAATTTCTATATTCTAACTGCGCTTTAAAAAAAAAAGTGTATTCTAACTGTCCGTCCAACATAGTACGAGGGTTTGGTTACCAGGTTCTTCAAAGCCATCTCCTTCGAGGTCGGACATGAGAATTTGTATAACATATTATTATCACATGACCTCACAGCCGGCATCACTGCATAGTCCTTAAGTATCCTTAAGTCTTGTCGTAGCGCGAAGAGGGCGGCCTCCGCTCGGCCCGGTCGCGTTCAGGATTTTCCACGAAGAACGGGCAAAGCTCCGCCACCTGAGGATTGTGCAAACACTCGAGCTTTCGGCAGCTGCGTACCAGATTGCTTCGGATGGGTTTGGGGACCACATCGAGCTGCTGTCTTGTGGACTGACACATATTCTGCACTCTTGACCCATGCTTAGGGCTATACACCAACATGATTAAGATGGAGTTGAGCCAGTTTGCGCCAAGAGTTGGGTAGAATGTTATCTATAGTGACGATAGTGACGTGATCCAACCAGTTATATCTAGTATATGCTCTCATCAGAAGCTGTTTGTGGGAGATGTTGCACCTGATCCAAACCTCACCCCGAATTTCACCTCTGGTTCCGCATCACCCAAGTATGGCCTGATTATCATAGTCCGCCATGGCCGCACTCAGCAACCGCAGCTTTTCCTTCACAGTGAGTTCGCCTTGAATCGACCGTCGAGCAGCAAAGGGTCGTGTTTCTAGTTCAGGGCAGGACAACATATATTGCATTAATATGATACATAATATTATATATACAATATCATCAGAATCATATACTGTAGATAGACTGTACCTTTGCCTTGCACATCCTTTCTCAGCTGTAACCACTCACCAGCCCATAACTCAACTCAAAACGAAAGTCAGCGCTAAGGCTCAGAAGAGCTGCCAGGCAGAGCATGAGAATCAATCAAGAGCACAAGTGCAAACCTGCCAAAGGAAATGACTTGCGTATACCTGCGTGCTTTGTGTGCGAGCCTGCCAAGTCCAAGCGAGAACCCTCAAGTTAGGCTGTCTATACATGGTTCAGCCACTTCAATCGTCTTTGATCACAAACGCAAAAACACATGTAAATGTGTATCATATACTGTACCTGTTTCACGATGTCACTATGTTTCATTCGCATCTATGACTCTTAGACCCACCAAATGTCCTCAAACAAAAGCCTTCCCCCTGCCGGCCCTGCGGCTCCCTGGGGAGCCCGGACGCTTCTTCCGGCGCATGCGCCGCAGCAAGTCCTTCTTCAAGCGGGTGTAGAGTACCTGGTGTCATCTTCTTCGTCTCCCCATGTCTGCAAGAAACCAACAAAAGCAGGTGGTGCACAGTTTTTTTGTGAAAGACACTAAGTAAAAGATACAAGTGGATTATAATTTATAAACATGTTGTTGCACCACAGCTGGATACGTGTTTTTGTTGACTCCAAATGTGTGGACGGAGAGTGGAATAGTGGAACACAACCGGCTGGTGCAGGGTGTACAACTGGGTGATGTCAGGATGCGGGAACTCTCCCGATCACTAGTGAGCAATCGTTCTGTGCGCGTCTGTATAATATAGATGGAAGGAGCTGTTTGTGATCAAGAATGGTTTCTACCATAGGTACTACCATAGGTCTGTTCTCTGACAGGTGCTTGGATGCTTGCGCAAACGGAGGATGTTAACCAAGAAACACTCTGTCGTGCCTATCCCATGATCTGATGAATGCAGCAAGCACCAACATGAATCTCAAACATGGCCAACGTGGAGCATTTTGGTTTTGAAAGATAAACAGCCTGTGAAAACGTCAACAACGACAACAAAAAGAGTTTGCTTCGCTGCAAGCAAAGCTCCGACAAACCAAGCCCTTTGCGCTTGCGCGTCATGATATGGATGATACACACGCAATCGAAAACACACGCAAAACTATTTATTTGTTTAAACAAAAAAACAAACTCAGTCACTGTAAACATTGGCCGCCCACAAGGTTTAGTCTAGATGAGCATGGCAAGTAAGTATTCTAACTTATAATTGCCAAGTGGTGGGCTCTCTTTTAGTGGTCTAGTTTTGGTGTAAAAAGATAAACTCCTGCACGACATTGGACACAATCCGTCTAAGGGCTCTGTGTTAATGATCTATGTTAGGGGTGTTCCAATCTTATATTCAACATCATAGTTCATCAAGAGCAGTGTGGCTAGATTGTCTGCTTCCTCGGTGCCATGACATTCTCATGTCCCATGGCCTGCTCCACGATGGACCTCTGCTCCAAAAAAATAGAATAAAGCCTTAGCATCGGCTGCTATTGACGCTGATAGATTCAACAGCGTCAAACAACTAGAGTACATTACACCTCAAGGAATACCAAACTCGCATGCCCAAGCTCTGTCCAGCTTGGTTTCCCAACTGCTTTTGCAGCTCTTGCTGTAAGGCCTACAAAGTGGCGACCCGACGAGGAGTTCTGCGACAGTTGGACTCAGCGCTGAAGGTACCGTAAAGGCCCAGATCAAAGCCAAAAGGGCTTTTCATCTAGATGAGTGAGAATAGGAACCAACGTAGAACACCTTCCTATAGGATGGACTAGCCAGCAAGCTCTGACAAGAACACTGAGTTCTTGGTCGCTTGTGCAAAACCAAATCCTTGATCGTCTGAATCCTTTTACACAATTGATTCATTGATACAGTAAATACTCACCTTCCCAAAGTCTCCTTGACTCTCACCCCCCTCACTTCCCGTGGAAAATAACAGACCATCTTTAAATGGGGCGTTCCCAATGCCCGAAAAAAAGGGTGACCTGCAACGACCACCAGCTCATCCACCTCACTCGACCTCCGACCTCCGCGCCTCACGCTCAGCCGAACAGCCTTCGTTCAGCTTCTCCCTGACGACCGCGGCTCCGGCGGAGCGTTCCCGTCGCCCGGTGGCGTCCCGGTCGCACCCCGAAACACCAGCGCGGCGAACAAAAAGAATCCATGGGTTTGCTGTTTCAAAGGCCCTTCCGGAAGGAACGAACATGAACGAACTATGGACTAAAACGATATTGTATTGATTTATGTTGATACGCTATGATATATTTTGATGTACCCTATGTACTTCCTCATGAGGTCCAAGGTCTATGACCTATCCAGTGGACAAAGACCAGCCAAACAGTGGGTCTCCATTCATGTTGGGTCTATGGCAGTCGATAGTCACACAATGTCACATATATAAGCATAGCAGTATGGCAATGCTTTGGCCACCCAAAACCCACAAAAATCCGGCATACCTGTGTCACGCCTGCCCCTCGACACACACACACACAAAACAAAACACACACACAACAAAACAAAATCAACAACATAACATGCCAAGATGCAATAGGCACATTAAACACATAATTACAAAAACACAAACAAAAAAACAAAAAGAACACAACACCCTTTTCCTCACCCACGACGGATTCAGCTTCTTTTGCGCCAAAGCTCCATGCCCGGCCGCCCTTCGGCGGCCGAAACGTCAAGGGGACGGAGGGGGGTGAGACAGACGGTGGAGACGCTGGGTGCGGTCGAAAACGAGTCGCGTTCTGAGCCCGTTGGTGGTTTTGTAGCAGGTGCTCCAAAGCAACAAATTGGAAACAAGGCCAAACCTGAGCTTGTGCACTTGAAGAAGAAACCAAAAGTGATCGATCTGAGTCAAGTTTACGGGATATATGCAAATCACTAGTACATACTATTACAATGTATATATATATATATATGAAGATGTCTACCGAAGTTCCAGTTGAGAGTGTTTCTGTTGGGAATTAGACCTTGTGATATTCTCTGATTCAGTACTCTTTTACCCTTTGGTGGACTTCTCCATGCGACGGCAACGCTCCACACCCTGAACGCTCCAGCGGCGTTTGTCGAGCCATGTTCTAACCCCAGTACTGCCATTCGCAGGCAACGAGTGGCGGTGGGTGTGGTGGCAAAAGATTCACAAAGCCCTCGGCATCAAAATCTCTCGAAACACGCGGCCCATCCGATTGTTTTAGGCCTGCAACCGGCTTGGGGGACGTCCACTGCAACGCCCAGGGCAGAAAACATATATACAGTTCTTGGGAAAATTGATGGGTATACCGGTTTACCGGAGTCGACTCTGTGAATCTTCTCAAGTTTCATTACAAGCAGTCTTGCATTCTGCAAGACTGCTGCGTCCAAACTGGAACATTCGGCAAGGCCCTCCGGCCATTTCCTTGTGGCCATCGAACTCAGCCGTGCGTGTTCACTCCTGGCCGTACACAAAAAAGGTGATCTTTTGTTCATGTGTAAATCAAACTTGAGCATGCATTATTCTATTTAGGTCATAAATTCAACTCTCCATTTTCCGATTGACTTGGAGCCTGGATAATGCAATCCTCTCTGGGCTGAACCCACGTGATCCCACACGTGACATCAGGACTGACAATGCTCTCCAATGGCATCGGCGAATGGCCCTCTTTTCTTGAACGATATGCCTGCCCGGTTGTCAAAGTCATGTTTGTCTGCGCACTACATACCTCAAAAGCTTGATTGTGTGAAACCGGACAAACCGGAGTAACTGGCACCACTGACACTCATCCATCCTTCTAATCTTTGTGGGCACTCAAGTAGCAGTGGGCACTCAAGTAGCAGATTGCTACATCCTGCCGACCAGCTAATTATGCACTCCTCCAGATCTTGCTTGGGGGTCTAGTCTTCCTACTAGTGATCCAGCGACGCACTCATTCATAAATATACAAACGGATACAAACGGGGTTCAGGTTCTTCATGAGGGTAGTTTGATGTGCTCCCTGAGGAGTCCCCCGCCAAATCACAGAGTCATAGCATAGCCCAGCTGTTCTTCCGCTCAAGACTAAAGTCACAAACTCCAAGCGATGCAACTACAATTCTTCGGACAGTGACATGAATGGCTCACGTAACTTCTATCCCCGGGATAGTCGGGCTTGATGAATCAACCGCCACCAGCTTGACAAACATGCGCTCGTTGCACACACAAGGAACAGCACGTGTTTGTTCAACACATGACGTTGGGTGCTCCAGCCCATCGAGTTATCGCCCGTGTCCCATCGTTTCCGGATCTTTGAGTGGTTACATGGAGAGAAGATCGACTCGGTCTATCAGTGTCTTCCGTCCTTTTGCTGCGCAGAACGGATGAACCCGCCTCCTGGATCGCGATTGTAAACTTCTTCTGGAACAACTGATGGCCTGGTCTTCGACCCAGGAACAAGGTCACTGGCTGCTTTGGAGGGCATTCCGGGATGCTGATCATGGGGATGGGCATGTCACCAAACACCCTCTGCACAGCTTCCAGTAGATTCCCTAGTCCATCTCCGGGCAACACCGCACGGCCCGGACCGTTGGCGCGCGGTCTCTCGACGCGCTGGGGCGATGAACACCGGTGCGGAGGCCCCCCTCTGCGGTGTCCACCGCTGTCGACGTCGAAGGTCGACCGATGTCCTTGAGGACTCTGTTCCAAGTAGGCATCAGCAAGTTAGGAGCCCTCCAAGCTGAAGGATGGCACAAACAATGACTGTAATTGGGACCAAGACCTCCAAGTTGAAGAACCCACCTGCATGTCCAAACTGCATGTCATGCTTCCCAAAACAACATGTTCATATAGTGAAGACCACCACATACCACCACACCGTGGTGGAGAGATAAACGAAACACACCAATCTTCTTCACTATACACCTCGTCATCCAAATGTCTCCCACTGTCGCAAAAAAACACACACACGCGCACTTACTCACCTTGTGCTTCACCCGGTTTCGCCGTCAATCCTCCCCCAAGCCCAATGGGAACACACACACACGCCCCCTATGTCAGGCTCCCCTCGGTCCCCTCCCCTTCGGACGGAAGGGCCTTGCCCGATGAAGCCTGGGAGCCATCAACATGAAGACCAGCGCCAGGGCCTCCGGCTGTCTGTGTTTCTCAGTGGTGCCTTTTGTCGCCGCATCATGATGTGGTGGGTACAGGATGTGGTGGGTGCTTCCATGTGGGAGACCCAGACTTGGGGGGTTGGTTTAAAGGAACCTTGGATGGGGTTGATGTTTGTGAAACCGTGTGGGGTAAATTCCAGTGTGCTCCCTTGGGGTAAATTCCGGTGTCCAGGGTGACTTTAGGGTGCATGTGGTCCAGGTTCAATCCTTTGTGCGTCGGTGTGAGTGAGGCTTTTAAAGACTGATCCACAGCTCTGAGGTTTACGAGGCGGACTGACCCCACAGGTCCAGGGAGAGGACCTGGCTTTCCCCAGTATCCGAGCTGAGCTAGTTTCTCATGGAGGGGCAAAGGCTCCGAACTATAGGTGATGATGCTTACAGATTTAATCTGCTACCAGTAGTCAAAGGGAAGGACTCTGAAAGGAACATAAAGGAACATAATTTGATCGCTTGGTAAGGCTTGAGAGCTTCCCAACTGCAAGCATCGAGTGGGTTTTCGCTGGAAATCCATCGAACAAGTTGTTATCCTTTGGGACAACGATCTAAATCGATTTGGGGCTTGCAGTGAATGGGGAGTGCGTCTATGTTGTCTTCAACCACTGACTTCTGACATCGTTTCTCCATGGAGGCAACTACATCCCACCACCAAACCACACGAAGTCTGATCATGTCTCAGGGACCACAAAGCCAAAGACTGTATCATGTTCAGCCCAAAACATCCAAAACGACCTCGTTCGACTCTCAATGACCCAAGACACCTCTGCAAAGCCCAGGAAGAGGCACACACCTGAAACCGCTGCCAGTCATTGTTGTACGTCAACTGACCCAAAGCCCTTGGACTCCAAGCACCGTACTGTTGAACTGGTTGTCCAAATCCTCAACAATGTTGATCAGGTCAGGATGTAACAGAAAAAGAACAGGGTCATTTGCTGATAGTTATGTTTGGCGATGATAGTCGAGATTCATGTTTGATAGTCAGTGTGTTCAAGGGTAGCTCATGTTCAAACAAAACTATCAAACCTTTCTGCCCCATGTCAGATTGATCGGGCTTCACCTACAGAATTGGAAAAAGGCGCATTTCAGCCTCCGTGCTTGAATAGAGCTGGATTGGGTTGACTAATGCAACACCTTCCGGCAGTAACGAACTCATGCGTGCTTTATCCCTCTTGATAATTTCTCTAGAAATCAAACCTTCCCTTGACCCATTCGACCTAATCATCCAATCATTTTCAGTAGGACACCATCCATCAACAAAAGGCTACACTCCCATCTAGTGCCTACAGTAATTGCTATAGCAAGAGGCATCAACGAGAAACCACCTGCTCAACACATCGACAGATTATCCGGACCTCACTATCCTCGTAGCCAACTGGGCACTCTGAGCTTAAGTACCCATAGCATGAAGGGCTGTATCCGTATCCGACAGATATAGTGTTGTTCAAACAACTTTTGGGCCTATGATTGTTTTGAGCTGCACACAGAAATCAATGTTAGTGTTAGGTGTGTATACACTATATACTATGTACTATATATATACACAAAACATATATGTATATATATATATGTATATAGATGTTGCTCAAAAAAACACCATTGTAAACTTTGCTAGGTTAGATTACTCAGTTGTTTTTCTCTCCCCGAGTCCCACCCACTTCTCATCTTCGCCCCTTTAGTGCTCCGCCTCCAGCTGCGCTCAAGGCACCGCTGTTGCCCAGGAAGCTGTTCCTGCACGGGGTAGAGAAAACACTCTGAAGAAGCGTATATTAAAGTTGTTGCGGTTAAAAGGCTCGTAGTTGGATTTCTGTTGAGGATGACCGGTCCCTCTGGGTGTGCACATTTACCTTGAAGAATTGGAGTATGTCAAGCAAGCGCACGCTTTGAATACATTAGCATGGAATAATAAGATAGGACCTGTCAGATACCGTCCTAGTCTTAACCACAA